CTGTTAAACATTCTCTGTCTGGCTGAACTACTGAATCCAAACCTTCAATCTCAAAAGCATTCTTTTCTTCTCTAAAAGCATTTGTTTCTCTTCAGCAGTTATGACCAAACTTTTGAGATGTGCACCTCTTTTGAACACTTCAAAAAAAGAAAGTCACTCATGGAGAAACAGGCAGTTTTATTTTTTCATTACCATTTAATTTTATTCATTTTTTTACATTTCAAAAGAACTATTCTTGTGAAAAAATAATCGGACAAACGATAACAAACATAAAAACTAATTAATTTAGTTCTGTATTAGCAAAGTCACCATTTATTATTTTTCCAGACATAATAATTCTAAAGGCTGATCTGAACCAGCTGTAAAAGAAAGCATAAATAAACGGATTTATTGTTGAGTTTGTTAATGCAAGGCAAATAAGTGCTTCAATAACAGGAACTGGTACTGGATTATTGGTGAAAGGCAGAAAAGAAACACAAAGAAGACCAGGACTCCAACATAAAATAAACACTCCTAGAATAATAGCCAGAGTTTTAGTAGCTTTTCTCTCCATCTTACTGACAGTTGCTACACATGTCATCCTAGTTTGTATGATTCGTGCCTGTCTCTGTGCAACAAGGAAAATCTTCAGATAAACACACAACAAAATGACAAGTGGAAGGTAAAATGACAATATTGTTCCAATTGTGGTTGTCAATAAAACAACAAGAGAGCATGCTCCTTGACATCCTCCTTCTGATTTTGGTGTTGTCATACCAATGCCAATAAGTGCAGAAGCACCCCAGTTTACAGTAATCATGAAGACAACAACATGACGGTTGATTTTAGATTTATATGTTAAAGGCTGACAAATTGCACAATATCTGTCTACAGAAATACAACATAAGTGTAAAATAGAGCATGTACAAAGGTATATTCCAAAGCTGTCTCTTATTTTACAGTATACATTTTCATGATACATACATGAGCTAAATGTAAATGCAGTGCTTAAAGGAAATACTACGATCCCTACAAGTAGGTCAGCCACTGCCAGAGACAGAATGAGGAAGTTAGTAGGAGTGTGAAGCTGTTTAAAGTAAAACACAGATAGTATTACAAGGAGGTTTCCACACACTGTGGCAACGGATAAAAGTGTTAAAAAACAGTTTAACATCACACATGCAGCAGAAGGTGTTGTGGTAAACTTGTAACTAAAATTATTTATCTCATAGCACGGATGGATGTAAGTCACAGCATCAGTTCTGTTCACAGTGACTCCTTTTTCCATAATGACCTAACAAGGATGCAATTCATTGAAACTGACAATAAAATGGACACTCAACAGAAATGTTGTAATTAACATAAACATATTAAATAATGATTCAGTAAATATTCTGATAAACACTTACAGGCCATCAGTTAATCAGTGATGTTGGTTGCTTTGATCCACACGAGTCTCGGTGTACAAACCTTTATTCCCCACTCCCTACCTATTGTTGTCCAATAAGAATACAGAACTGTGAGTAATGATGCAACATGTATGTGTTTATGCATTCCACTTTCAGAGTTACAGTTGCAGACACATTTGTTGGTACCCTTCAAAATTAATTAAAAAAAGTACCTCTGGAATAACTTGAAACAAACAAACAAACAAACAAACAAACAAACAAACAAACACACACACACACATATATATATAGTTTTTTCCATCTAGTAGTCTAGACATTTATGAAGTGATGTTCAATTCAATATTTAGCTATCAATAGGGCAGAAATAGGCAAATAAACCAAGTCTTTCTCAAAAYTATCTTACAACTGTGAAAGAACACAACTTTACAATTTTTATGACACTTAAGTGTTTTTCAAATGGAAAATATTTGCATTACTACGCAAATAATTGTATGCTGAGCATTGACCAAAATATGTTGATGGTGCCAAAGCTGTTGAATGTATTAAGCCTCTGGGAGTTGTGAAAGTCGACTACATGTACTGATCCCAGAAATATTGTTTGTTAGCAAAAACCATAACAAGCTAAACAAATGGTGTCATGGAAAAGTACAAAGCCAAAGGGTGGGGTCTGGTCAATGTCAGACCTTACCATATTTGATAATGGCACCATTGCACTCTGGAACTACAGGGGGCACTATATCACTGAACACTTAGAAATGCCTTAAAGGGATCCATGATTAGTTCTAACATTAGACTTGATTTAGTAAACATTTATTTTAACTGTAAAAGAAAGACTGTAAAAATACTGTAGGCTGTTAAGTTTTGTACATTTTTAAAAATATAACACGGACGGAGCCATTTTATTTACACGCAAAGCATTCTGGGTAAATAATGACGTGGATAGGACATCAATGTGAGCGAGCTATATCCACCCTGAAGGTTAATCTTGGACAATATCTGATGATCGACTCTTTTAAATGAAACCAGAGAGCGTTGWCAGAGAGGAGAAGGTAGAAATGACTCATCCTGTAACTGAAAATATGAATGGAGGACAACAG